TATTATATACAATTCTTGCTACCAATATAATGTTATTTATATGGGGGATACAATCTTCCCAGCTCTGCAGATTTTGCTGTGAAGAGACAGAATCATTAGATCATTTGTTTTGGTTCTGTCCATTTGTAGCTTGTTTTTGGACACAGGTCCAGGAATGGCTAAAGGATTGCAATATTTACCTGGAGCTAACCTTGCAGATAGCATTACTGGGTGATCTGAAAAGTCATAGTCAATCGATCAATAATATAATAATACTTTTAGCAAAAATGTTTATTTTTAATTCACAATCTGTAGAAACAATGAGAATAGAAAGGTTCAGAACTTTTGTAAAACATCACAGTACGGTTGAAATATATATGGCAAATAGAAATCCTATCAAATCAAATCAAATCAAATCAAATTTTATTGGTCACATGCGCCGAATACAACAGGTGCAGACAACATGCGGATGGTGTTAAGAGATAGATGGGAGGTATTGAATGGAGTTGAAGGATGTGACTAATAACAAATAACAACAAATAATAACAAGATAACTAATAATGTAAGCATACTGTGTCCATAGTAAGTATATAGGTTGTTTGTTGGGAGCTTTTGGGAAAGAGCACAGTTAGAAAGATATGGCATATAGAAGCAAACCGGATGGACATCATGAAAATGATCGGAGAGGTTGAGAGTAGAAGAAGTCCAGGAGCAAAAACAAAAAAAACTAATAAAATAGAATTATTGTAAAATTGACTGTGTCCATAAGGTGTAGATAGTAAGTATAGGCTGGAAGTAGAGGCCTGGGCATTGTTGTTCACTAATTTACCCCAAGTAGGGAAAGGATGGCGGGGTTGAAAAGTAATAAAGGGGAGTATATATATATAGAAAATATGGGGGATTGGAAGTGATGCAGACAATTACATTGATAGAAGTTACAATCTATCTGCAAAAATAAACTGATCTACCCCCCCCAAAAAAATAAAAAAAAGATTTAAAAAACAAATCCAATTTTGATGAACTCCCTTATCTACTGGGTGAAATACCACAGTGTGCCATCACAGCAGCAATATTTGTGACCTGTTGCCACAAGAAAAGGGCAACCCAAATACAACCCATATTTTTGTTTAAAATATGTTACCCATGCCAATAAAGCCCTTTGAATTGAATTGACAGTGGCAGCTCTTCCATGAGTCCCCTCCCTCCCTCTACTGCCATAGACAGAGACAGTGGCAGCTCTTCCATCAGTCCCCTCCCTCCCTCTACTGCCATAGACAGAGACAGTGGCAGCTCTTCCATCAGCCCCTTCCCTCCCTCTACTGCCATAGACAAAGACAGTGGCATCTCTTCCGTCGGCCCTTCCCTCCCTCTGCAGAGACCAGACCCAGAGCCAGATACAGCTCTTTATGTCACCAGGGGCTGAGAGAAACATAAGGCAGAGCCCAGCCAGACACTATTATTCTCTTCATTATCCATTAGAACAGTCTCTGAGCAGCCGGCCACTGATTCCTTAAGAATGCTATGTGTAGCATGTATATTTGAGACCAATGTACACTTGAGATAATAGAATTGAAATCGGGGGTAGAGAGTTGCATTCCCTCAGATTGCGATGTAAAAGCAGTGTGGTGGTGACGCCGTGTAGACTGCACACTGCAGCCAAGCCATGCCATGCCAAGCCAAGCCAAGCCAAGCCAAGCCAAGCCAAGCCAAGCCAAGCCATGCACAGCCTGAGTTACTGACTGTAACTCCAGAGAATCCCCATAGCACAGAGGGGCCACATCAAATCAAATCAAATCAAATGTTATTTGCCACATGCGCCGAATACAACAGGTGTAGACATTACAGTGAAATGCTTCCTTACAAGCCCTTAACCAAGAATGCAGTCTAAGAAAAAAAAAAAAAAGAAGCAAATAATTCAAGAGCAGCAGTAAAATAAAATAACAGTAGGGAGGCTATATACAGGGGGGTACCGGTACTGAGTCAATGTGCGGGGGCACCGGTTAGTCGAGGTAATTGAGGTAATATGTACATGTGGGTAGAGTTAAAGTGACTATGCATAAATAATAAACAGAGTAGCAGCAGCGTAAAAGAGGGGGTTGGGGTTGGGGCGGGGTGGGGGGGGCAATGCAAATAGTCCGGGTAGCCATGTTTAGCTGTTCAGGAGTCTTATGGCTTGGGGGTAGAAGCTGTTAAGAAGCCTTTTGGACCTAGTCATGGCGCTCCGGTACCGCTCAGGGAGAACCACTACCAACCAGCCCTCTCTCTGCCACATCATAGCCCTAATTCAGGGGCTCAGGTTAGGCTTATGAAGCTCAGTCAGAACCACCAGCAACTCCACGGGGGCTCAGGTTGGGCCTCTCTCTGCCGGATCATAGCCCCACCACGGGGGCTCAGGTTGGTCCTCTCTCTGCTGGATCATAGCCCCACCACAGGGGCTCAGGTTGGGCCTCCCTCTGCCGGATCATAGCCCCAACATGGATGCTCAGGTTGGGCCTCTCTCTGCCGGATCATAGCCCCACAA